TGCTTGCCAGAGAAAGAGAGAGAGAGAAGGAGGGAGAGGAAAAAGTGCTCTCTGTGGGGAATGGTCACAGTGCACACCCTCCACCTCTCCCTCCTATTAGGATTTTGGGTATACATACAAACATGCCTGGCATGCTCTCATGCCAGTGGGTCCAGGACTTGAACTACACAGTTGGCCTGTTGGGATCTGGCTGCCTTAATCATCAAGCCATGGAAGCCAGCCCAGAAAAGGTTTTTTACATTAATTATCTGCAGTGACAATTCTCTTATTTGTTCTAGTATTCTTCCCTTCTTCATTTCTCAAAAGTGTTGAGAAAAGTCAAGTATGGGAAGCCTGATTCTAATTAGTGCTAGAAAACTGCAGATTTTAAAAAGTCACACACTATATATATGTTTTTTTTAAAGAGAAGTTTTTGCTGTAGGGTGCGTGTGCTAGCTGGAAAGACAGAGACAGAGAGACAAAAAGTGAGAAATCACTACCCGGGGAATGGCCACACCCTTCTCCTTCATTCTCCTCTTGGGATCTTGGGCACCCACGCACACACCCCCAGTGTGAGTTTAAGCTGCTGGGTCCGAGCTCAAACCGTGGTTGACTATGTGGGAGTTAAGTGACGTAACCATTATGCCATCTGCTGGTCCCAAAATTAATTAACAGCAGTGACAAGTCATGCTATTGGCAGAGACTATATGGAAGACATATTTCCTCCAGTTGGGAAATAAACTACTTATTTAGTTTATTTTAGGTTTTGCTATAGGGTACGTGTGCTCACTGAAAAGTAAGAGATACAAAGTGAGAAATTACCCCTCAGTGTGGATGGCCACACCACAATCCCATCTCCATTCTCCTCTCCAGATTTTGGGCACACACACACACACACATGCACCCAGTGTGTTTTTCAAGCTGCAGGGTCCAGGACACAAACCTTGGAGTCAGTTATGTGGGATATGTGGGATCTAGCACCTTAACCACTACTGCACCTGTTGGCTCAGAAAATAAACATCTTAACTTCCCATTATGATCCTCTTAACCATGTCAAGTTAGGAGAGACTGAAATAATTAAAACCCAGTTACACATTCTAATTAAGTCACAGAGTTAAAAGTAGGAAAGAGATTTTAAGCCTTAAATTCTTGGGATTACAGCAGAAATTAGCTGTTCAACTGAAAGGCTCAAGAAGCCTGCTCAGTTTCCTTCTCACCAAAGCTTTGGGAGAAGCTCGCCACGGCTGCTGCCTTGCTGGCTTAAAAAGCACACTTGATACGTGTGTGTGCATACTCCAAATCCCGACAGAATGTTGAACTGGAGAAGGGATTGTGTGTGACCCATTTTGGGTGATTTCTCCTCTTCCTTTCTCTGCCTCTCTGTCAAGTGCATGTGCCCCTGGCCAACAAAATAAAAAAGCAATTTTTTTAGTTTGCTCTAGGGTGAGAAAGAGAAAGTGAAGAATCACTCCCCCCCAACCCCCAGAGGGGATAGCTAAGCCACAATCCCTTTTCTTCCACTCTCCTCCCTTTCGGGGCATACATGACTGGCCTAACTTTCAAGCTGGGACTCAAACCACACAGCCAGCCATATGGGATCCAACACCTTAACCTCCATGCCACTTGCAGGCCTCAAAATTTAAATCTTAAACTAAAACCTGTATTTTAAAAGTCATCTCATCTGGTATAGTCCTATGCTAAATGCAATACATGTTTTTTCAAAAGAGAGTGATAATCTTTAAAAGAACACACTAAAGGGACCAGCAGATGGCATAGCGGTTACCTGGTAGCTTGAAAATCAATCATGCTGGGCATGGGTGCATGCATGCCCAAGATCCCAGGAGGAGAATGGAAGAGAAGGGATTGCATCATGGCCATTCCCTCTGGGGAGTGATTTCTCACTTTTCCTCTCACTGTCTCTATCTTTCTCTTTCTGGTGAGTGTACGTGCCCTATGGCAAAAACCTTCCCCCGCCCCCCCCAAAAAAAAACCCACACTATAAAGGACTCATGACAAGTGCTTTTAGTGAAAAGAGATGAAAGCATATTTTTGTGTAATAAACTAAAATATAACTCTTTACCTTTGTGAGGAAGTCCTGAATTCTTCTTTTCCAACAGGTTTTGTTTTATTACTTTTGTCACTAAAAGAAAAAAAAAATCTCATGTTAAGAATTAACATCAGGACACAAACCTTGGAGTCAGTTATGTGGGATATGTGGGATCTAGCACCTTAACCACTACTGCACCTGTTGGCTCAGAAAATAAACATCTTAACTTCCCATTATGATCCTCTTAACCATGTCAAGTTAGGAGAGACTGAAATAATTAAAACCCAGTTACACATTCTAATTAAGTCACAGAGTTAAAAGTAGGAAAGAGATTTTAAGCCTTAAATTCTTGGGATTACAGCAGAAATTAGCTGTTCAACTGAAAGGCTCAAGAAGCCTGCTCAGTTTCCTTCTCACCAAAGCTTTGGGAGAAGCTCGCCACGGCTGCTGCCTTGCTGGCTTAAAAAGCACACTTGATACGTGTGTGTGCATACTCCAAATCCCGACAGAATGTTGAACTGGAGAAGGGATTGTGTGTGACCCATTTTGGGTGATTTCTCCTCTTCCTTTCTCTGCCTCTCTGTCAAGTGCATGTGCCCCTGGCCAACAAAATAAAAAAGCAATTTTTTTAGTTTGCTCTAGGGTGAGAAAGAGAAAGTGAAGAATCACTCCCCCCCAACCCCCAGAGGGGATAGCTAAGCCACAATCCCTTTTCTTCCACTCTCCTCCCTTTCGGGGCATACATGACTGGCCTAACTTTCAAGCTGGGACTCAAACCACACAGCCAGCCATATGGGATCCAACACCTTAACCTCCATGCCACTTGCAGGCCTCAAAATTTAAATCTTAAACTAAAACCTGTATTTTAAAAGTCATCTCATCTGGTATAGTCCTATGCTAAATGCAATACATGTTTTTTCAAAAGAGAGTGATAATCTTTAAAAGAACACACTAAAGGGACCAGCAGATGGCATAGCGGTTACCTGGTAGCTTGAAAATCAATCATGCTGGGCATGGGTGCATGCATGCCCAAGATCCCAGGAGGAGAATGGAAGAGAAGGGATTGCATCATGGCCATTCCCTCTGGGGAGTGATTTCTCACTTTTCCTCTCACTGTCTCTATCTTTCTCTTTCTGGTGAGTGTACGTGCCCTATGGCAAAAACCTTCCCCCGCCCCCCTCAAAAAAAACCCACACTATAAAGGACTCATGACAAGTGCTTTTAGTGAAAAGAGATGAAAGCATATTTTTGTGTAATAAACTAAAATATAACTCTTTACCTTTGTGAGGAAGTCCTGAATTCTTCTTTTCCAACAGGTTTTGTTTTATTACTTTTGTCACTAAAAGAAAAAAAAAAATCTCATGTTAAGAATTAACATGGAATATGAGTAATTTCTTACTATTTGGAAGAAAGAACTTCATTAGAGAAAATAATTCAAAGTAATAACTAGGTATCAAGTATATCTTATTTAAAAACTGAGTGTTACATAAAAAAAGCCTACTTCCACTTTCCAAGGTACATTCTTTTTCTTCATGTTCAAGAGGAATCCCCAAAATAACAGATCCAGGTAAAAAATACATGGCTTTTTGTGTAAAGAAAGCAACAATATTTCTATCATGTGTCCAGCACTGGTATATATACAGAAGTCTATCAAATATAAAGTTGGGGAAAAACAATAGGCTTATCTTTTAAAATGATCATTTAAATACACAAATTATTCTTACTTAGTTCTTTGGTTTTCCGCATTTCTTCTTTTGAGAAGCATGATGTACAAGAGATACCAATGAGATTTTCAAGCTCTCTACTGCCCCCCAAAGCCTAAAAGAAAGCCATCTTAATGAGTTAAATAAGTTCTTGACAAATATAAGATTATTGACAAGTTTAGAGAAAATTTAATTCATTTTTTTCCTTCATTTAAAAAACTTCCGCTTTTCCTGGTAGGTCAACTATTGCAAGCACTAAAATGCCTGAATAAAAACAATTCATTATTATCTAAAAGACTAAACAAAATCTACAAACACACTTTTAAATGTAAAAAGTCTAACAGAACTAAAATATGACTAAGTAATGTCCACATAAGAAAAGAAATTCTGGGGCTAGCAGTTGGCATGGCAGTTAAGCCACTGGACTCCCATGTGGTTGACAGTGGTTCAAGTCCCCAAAATCACAACATATAAATAGAAAGATAGATATAGACAGATAGATAGATAGATAGATAAATAAATAAATGCTAAAAAAAAGAAAGAAAAGAAATTCCCATGGAAAAAATAAATCAAACTGATTCCTGGATTAGATTCTCTAATCCTGGCCTTCTTTCCTTTAATCTTTTCCAATGGGATAGTAGAATTATGAAAAATTACATGTTAAAAAAACCCAAACAAACCTGTATAGTACTTAAATTTTGAATTATTTCTGTGATTTCTTCTGATGATTTCTCAACTTCAGACAGCAACATCATAAACCTAGGAATGAAGAAAAAAATGAGCAAGAATATTTAAAATGGCATGTAATCATTTTCAGAGCCTTAATTTTTTGTAAAAGATCTTAGATCATTTCCTAATCTTTTCTTTCCAACTGTTAAGTCCTGAGAGATTCATGAAGTGTGTTTTTATCCCACATCTTATGGCTTACTTGAGAAGCCTTCATAACCTGTGGAGATAAGCTGCTTGCTAGGCAGTCTGGGGGAGACACGGCTGCCACATTCTTCATCCTGGACAAAATGACAATTCTCATAGAATTGTGTGTGTTAGACACTTGATTTTCATTGCTCCTGAGAGGCTTTTCCTGTATTTTCTTATTTTCCCAGTTTAATTGCTCTATGCATTTGCTATGTTTAATGCACAAGAAGATAAAAGCTAACACACTGCAGAATTTCTCAAGATATATGGCAGAGAAAAAAGATGGATCAGCAGTATCCTAGGGTGTTGGTGGATGCATTCTTGGAGGATGCCAATAGGCATCCTCTGAGCAGGGATAGACCCACTGGCAGGCCCATGTATGGTGTTATACCAGACAGAGAAGCCATGATGCCTGTAGGTAGAGTTGCTTAGCCTGTAGGTGAGGGTAGAGACCCCTGTGCTGTGTGTTGGGGCTCGGCGGTGCTGGCAGTAGCAGCAACGGTACCAGCCGCTATAGAGCTTCTTTCCTGTCGTTATGTGATTATGGCCCCTCGATTCCTCAGATGGACCCTGCTAATTCAGCAGGCGCCTGGGGAGCTGGTCCTCCACAGCTGCTCTACCCATCCCACGACATCCTGCAGCTCTAGCAGGTGGCATCTAAGCAATGCTAGAATCATTGATGGGTTGCCCTCCAGAAGCCTGGTTGCTAAGTGTCTCCACTCCGCCCCCCGCCAGCAACACCAGACCTAAAACTCATGTGACTTGAACTTCCAACTCTGGCAGAAGCTTTTCTGTATTGTCTTAGGTGTAAGCGAGCCTTTCCTCTCTCCATTGCATCAAAGATGTCAGGCATCTTTGGTGGGTGCTCCACTCTGCCCTTTTCTTTTCTTTTTTTTCTTTTTTCTTTTTTTTTTAGAGGTTTTCGCTATAGGGCGCGTGCGCTCGCCAGACAGACAAAGAGACATAGAGACAGAAAGCGAGAAATCACCCCCTCAGAGGGGATGGTCACGCCACAATCCCTTCTCCTCCATTCTCCTCTCGGGATCTTGGGCACGCACCACACGCAACCGGCCTGAGTTTTAAGCCACCGGGTCCGGGACGCGAAACGCAGTCGTCTACGTGGGAGTCCAGCGACATAGCCTAACTGCTGGTTCCCTGCCCTTTTATTTTCAACACATGGTTCAAATTCTCCTTTACTGCTCTAAGACAGCATTACTGTTTCCTTCAAGTCCCTCCACCTTTAATACCACTTTGTGGCTCTTTCATTAAGTTATTCCTTTATTCCTAGAAACCAATAATCTCTTTTTTGTTCTTTCCTTTTTACTTTTTTGCCATATGGAGTGTGAGCTCACCAAAAGCAGAAAGAAGGAAAGTGAGAAATCACTCCCCAGTGGGGTAGCCACGCTACAATCCCTTCTCCTCCATTCTCCTCTAGGGATTCTGGGCACACAAGCACATGTGGTCGGTGTGAGTTTTAGGCCCGCTGGATCTGGGACTTGAACAGTGGTTGGCCCTGTGGAAGTCCAGGACCTTAACCACCACACCACCTGCTGCTTCCTAATCTTTCATTTTTTCAAAGCTGCCTACAGGATACATTTGTCAAGTTAATTATGGCATGGAATTTCAAATTTATTGTTGCTTTTCCTTTCAAAGTGGTGAATAAAATATCAGTGAGTGCCATTTCAAATCTATAGAACACTATTCCTTTCCTTAACAGATTTGCCTCTGGCAATGATGTTGCAATGATCCTCTGAACCACCAGATGGGGGTACTGTATCCAGACATCTAGAAACACGGCACCATGACGAGATCCTTACAAATCCGCTAGATGGCTAAAGACTACTGTAGCACAACTTGAGAAATCTGAAATCTTGGTCCTTCTTAAAAGGATCTTCTTGTTCTTCAGGAGTCAACAACTAGCAGTATTCTTTTTTATTACCACTTTTTAGTAATTTAAGTGTCCAGATTAGTCCTCGAAGCTACTTTCTAAAAAAAACTATGGCCTGACTGATCTGACACATCAAAAAGTTGTCTTAACTCTTGACTTTTTTTGGTCAGATTGCCTCAGCTCATAGTAGATTCTTGTGGAATGTTCACTGAGAATTTTTTATCCCCTTTCTTTTTCTGATAGAAAGCGTATGTGCATGTACAAGACAGAGACAGAGACACACAGAGAGAAAAAGAGAGAAGGTGCCCTCGACACAGCTTCATCAGGCTATGGTGCCCTTTCTCCAGTCCTTTTGTCCTCAGGATCTTGGACACCCACGTGAATACCAGAGCATTTTTCAGGTTGACCTGGGATCTGAACTGCGGTCACTGTATGGCTTCCAACAGTGCAGGACGTTAGCATTATGGCTGCAACCTAGTGGTGGGCCAATATTTGTTTTCTCTTGAGAAAAATCACATTTAAAAACCCATGATTCTCAGTGCAATTTTCTTTTCTTATTTTTCTTTCTTTTTTTTTTTTTTTTGAGAGGTTTTTGCTATAGGGTGCGTGCGCTCGCCAGACAGAGACAGAGACAGAAAGTGAGAAATCCCCCCCCAGGGGAGATGGCCACGCGGCAATCCCTTCTCCTCCATTCTCCTCTTGGGATCTTGGGCACGCACGTACACATGCCAGGTGTGAGTTCAAGCCACTGGGTCCAGGATGCGAACCGCGGTCAACTACATGGGAATCCAGTGCCAGCCATTATGCTAACTGCTGGCCCCGAATCTCAGTGCATTTTTCTAATTTTCTTAGAAAGGTCTCACTGTCAAATTCAGAATTCTCTCATTTTTCTCTCAAAAAGAAAGCCTCTATTATTCTGAAGAACAATTGGCTTCAGACAAATACAATCCATGGGAGGCACTGGACGTATCCTTGAATTATACTTTTAATTCCTTCCCATGTGGGTCCAGCTGTGCCACTGTCTGGGCCCTGTATTTTCCTCTTTGAGGAACTACCAGTTTACACAGGAGCTACAGTGTACAGGGTTCCAGTTTCTCCACATCCTCGCCAATAAATATTTTCATTTTTGGTTTGTTTAAATAGCCATTCTAGCAGGTATTAAGTGGTGTCTCACTGTGGATTTGACTTGCATGTCTTTAATGACTAATGCTCAACATCTTTTCTTTTTAAAAAATTTGCCACTAGGGTCAGCAGGTGGCTTGGTGGATAACGTGCTGGACTCCCACATGACTAAACATGGTTTGAGTTCCAGATCCAATAGTTTGAAACTCACAACAGGCACATGTGTGTGCATGCCCAAAATCCCAGGAGGAGAATAGAGAAAGGATTGCAGTGTGGCCATCCACCCTGGGGAATGATTGCTCACTTTCCCTCTCTATCTCTGTCTCTCTAGTGAGTGCACATGTCCTATGGCAAAAAAAAACCCAAAAAAACAAAATGCCACAAGGTGTAAGCACGAGAGAGAGAGAGAGAGAGAGAGACAGAGAGAGAGAGAGAGAGAGAGAGAGAGAGAGAGAAAGAAAGAGGGAGAGAGAGAAAAAGTGAGAAAGCAAGCCACCAGGTCTGGAACTTGACCTGTGGTGGATGATGTGGGAGTCCGGAATCCCAACCATCACACCACTGGCTGGCTCCTCTTGATGGTGTATTATGAAGCATAAAGTTTGTAAGTTTGATAAAGTCCAATTAACTTTTTTTTTTGCTTTATTGATTGTATTTTTGGTGTCATTATATAAGACCACCATCAGCTTTGAGGTCCTGAAGATTTACCCTTTTTTTTGGAGTTTTTTTTGCTATAGGGTGTGTGTGCTCACCAGAAAGACAGAGAGAGACAGAGAGACATGAGAAATCACCCCCAGAGGGGATAGCCACACTGCAATCCCTTCTCTTCCATTCTCCTCTTGGGTTCTTGGGCATGCACACACATATGCCCAGCGTGAGTTTAAGCCACCAGGTCCGGGACTCAAACTGCGGTCAACTACATGGAAGTCTAGCAACATAGCCATTACGCCAACTGCTGGTCCCTACCCCTGTTTTGTTCCCTAACAGTTTTATAAATGGTTTTGGCCCCTATATTTAGGTCACCAATCCATTCAAGTTTTTATATATGGTTTAAGATGGGGATCTAGTTTTATTCTTTTATATATGTAAATCCTGTTGTCCAGAAACGTTTATTGAAGAGACTGTTCTTTCCCCATTAAATGGACTTGGCACCATGTCAAGTCAATTGGTCAAAGAAGCATGAGTTTGTTTGGACTCTGAATTCTATTTCATTGGCCTATATGTCTCTTCTTAAGCTAGTACGATACTGTTTGAATACTGTAGTTTTGCATTCAATTTTGAAATCAGTAAGTGTAAATCCTCCAAATTTCTTTCTTCTTTTTTTTTTTTTTTTTTTTTTTAAGAGATGTTTTGCTATAGGGTGCTTGTGTTTGCCAGAAAGACAGAGAGAGACAGAAAGCGAGAAATCATCCCCCAGGCGGAATGGCCATGCCGCAATTCATTCTCCTCCATTCTCCTCTCGGGATCTTGGGCACACGCGCCCAGTGTGAGTTTAAGCCACTGGGTCCGGGACTCGAACCGTGGTTGACTACATGGAAGTTCAGTGACATAGTCATTATGCTAACTGCTGGTCCCTCTTTTTTATTTTTTTAAAGTTTTTGCCATAGGAGGCACGTGGTCACTGGAAACAAATAGATGGAAAGTGAGGAATCATATCACAATCCTTTCTCCTCTACATTTTGGGCATGTGTGGATATGCGCCAGGTGTAATATTCAATCTGCCAGTCTGGGACTTGAACCATTGTTATCAATGTGGGAGTTCAGCACCTTAACCACCACGCCACCTCCTGACCCCCTAATTTCCTTTTTAATTAGACATTTTGGCTATTTGGGGTCT